GGCTCTCTCTAACACACTATACAGCAAGATGACTTTTCTGCAGCTAACTAAACTTGCTTTTAGGTTTGTTTTTTTTTTTTTAAATAGCTAAAAATAAACAAAACCAAAAATCCCTAAAATACACACACACAAAATTAAGGCATACAGAACAGAAACTGTCAGAAAAAAAATGAAGTGATAAATCTAAGTAAAACAACAAAACCCAACACCCAAACAACAGGTTGATGTGCTTATTATCACCACAGCAAGTGAATAGGARGCTAAATGTCAAGTATTACTACAGCTATAGGTCAGCAATTTCTATTGTTAATGCCATTCAGCAGGTCCCCATAGCAGGAGGTAAAGTCACCTCCTCCCAAGCTCACAGTTGCTTAAAACAAGTCAAACTGCTCCACTCTTGCTTTTAACAGCCACGTAAAATGGCTGTGCAGTACAATTCTATGTACTGAGGAAAYGCTACAAGGGAAAACAAAAAGTCTTACCATTGTGATGAGAAGTCTGTATTTATCCAGCATTGCCTGGTTGTCATGGCATCCTGCCAGCAACTGCCAAACTTCGGCCCTCAGCGCCTCCGGGACACCGCTCTTGACCAGCGTAGACAGCCCCTTCGGTCTTGCAAGAAGGTTGTTATACCTGAGAAAAAAAGACTGTCATTTGCCCATTACATCACAACTATGGGAGCAGAATGCAGGTTAAATATATAAAATATGTTTCAGCTTTCCAATGTTATTATGAACAGTAGAGTCACTAACTAATAGCATAAGCATTTATTTCATAAGTTACACTGATTAGTATTTGTCACATGGGGGGATAAAATGCTGCAGGAATTCACAATAATAACCGGTAGCAAAACACATTGATATCCACAGTAATTTCAGCTAGGATTAGAGGTATTAATGAAAACTAAAAGAATAAACAAATTCAGAAATTCAACAGAACTGGTTAATAAAGAAAACCATAAAGAAGCACACTCTTGATGTGTACAAGAGATCCTATAAAGTAAAATCAACTTGAATAGTTCTGGGGGCTAAGGTGAGTTCAAAATAAACTATTAATGAGAAAGCTGTCACTTGCGCAGGCARTTCAATTTAAATATTTGTTCAACACAGTGTAGATTAGAAAAAGCAAGTGAAAAATAAGTTGTACAGAGAAAGAAACTTTGGAAAAACAAAAAGTGTTTTATAGTTCTACCTGAAGACTGAAGTGCTACTTTTACAATCAATATCAAATTTAATTTTCCATATAAAACAGGTATTCAGCTCTGCTGCATTAAGCCTAAGTTGCAAGTTCCACAAAGTAGTAACACTTGCACATAACTTGGAAATATCCCAGSTTCCCAAATAAATCTGGTAATTAGTCTCAGCTAGCATTTAATACTTCTTTGCTACATACCAAGCAATGTGGGAAGATATAAGCAGGATGACTTTTTTAATAACACATAATTAATCCTACAAAAGTTCTCTAAAAACTGGGAAGGTTAACATAGACTGAATATCAAAGACATCTTATTTTTCAAAAAGAAGCCAGTTACTGAGCCCCTACTTTTAAGATAAAATTACTGCACGTACACGATAGCGCAGAGCTTTCAGTCACAYAGGTTAAAAATTCTGAGAAACTAAATTGTTTCTTGATCAGTTATGGTGACCAATGCAGCAGGGAGAACATTTGAATCAATTCTTTATTCTTTATAAAGCAGCAAGGACTTGCAAGCAGCTTCCCTTGGCTTGTTATTGTTTTGACCATTGTTAAGWTATTCAACTCTACTGCTAGGAGAGCAGTGGGAATGGCAGTTTAGTAAAATACCAGCAAGCTGCCATCACATTAAATAACTTGGCATTTCACTCAGAAGGGGTAGCTTTCTGCTACTTGTCAAATTTAAAAGATGCTCTGAATGACTTGCTCTTTCCCACATTCAGTTAAAAGAGGATAGCCGCACTGTTTCAAATAATTAGGTGTTAAAAAGAGTGAATGATTATGTAAGGTCCTTATTCCACTATACATGAAAATTTTAAAATTTCAAATGTGTAGTGCAACGTAAACCAGTTCAAAATTTAACTTTCAGTCAACCAAATTAAAAGCCTGACAGTCCTAGTTCTCTTTTTTCAGTATATTGTCTAGTAGGTCACACTTAACTAATGGTCTTGCAATGGGAAGAAGTTGAGGGGGCGGAGGGAAGGCACAAAAAATATTCCACAGAAATATTTGAAGGACTAGACACTCTAAGATCCAAGACAGTTATAAAATGATGAGATGTACRATCAGGTGGAATAAATGCAAAAAAGCCACAGAAATTTGAAGTACAATTGAGCACATATGAACTATTTGTCACATATTTCAAAACAGATTAGTTTGTTATTAATTGGATTTGGTTATAGGTATTACATACGAAAGGTAGAATATGGATAAAATAAAATGAACAGCTAAGAAGGTAAGTTTCCATATAAACATGGCATGGATTTCTTTCAGTGCCACCAAGAAAACAATACAAACAGCTCATGGCAACAGCTAACAGAGATGCATATTCCATGTTGTGATATCATCTTTATTTCCAAACATATTCACAACTGAGAATTAAGCATGCTATGAYGCACAAGATTTTACCGTATTTGTCATATACGGAAACAGCTTTACAGAAGAGGTAACAATTCAGCAACATTAGACCATGCAGTAAGGCATAATTCTGTACCTTTTAATAAGCAACTCCTCAGTTTCTGAATGTCTGTCTGGGAAACAGTTCAATTATTAATAATCCTTGCTCTAAGGTCTGTAATAATGAACCAAAATGCATGCTCTTTTTCCCCCTGCTGTAGAGGCCCAAGGATCTTACATTGCTGGATAACTGTCTGATGCCTTCTTGGCTGGACTGCAACAAAAACAAGCTTAAAATAAAAGCTTGTCTTATCCCCCAAACACATACAAGGTTGGCTCTTGGAAAGAAATCAGTCATTCATCAATGCTGTCATCTTTTATTTGCTATAAAGTGCAGTAATTCTCCTGAGTAAACTTCAAAGACATCATTTTAAAGGGTCAAAGAGCAAGGATACAAAACAGCAAAGCACAGGATATGTTCTGACTTAGTAAGCATATTTCTAATAAACTGCTACTATTGACCACTACTAAACACACACACACACACACACACACACACACACACTAGAAAAAAATTATTGTTAAGTACTTAACTTATATTAGCTTAGTTCTGGTTTTAGTCTGGTAAATTTACCTTTGTAAATAAAAGCTTATTCCATTACTTTCCATGCATTTACTGTATCTTTTAGGTAAACTATCCTGATCTAATTCCTCTTTACATGTTATCCTTTAAAGGAGACTCTTATAGCAATGTTTCTGCTGAGTCAGTCCATTCACTTGCAGTGACATTTTAATTAAATGACAGCAAGCAATTAAAATGCAAGAAATTTTTTTTTATCTCAGACAGAAATCAGCACACCAGTCTCCAAGAGAAAAATGTTAATTTTATTTATTTTTAACAAATGCATAYATCTTCTTTTAGCATATGCTGTAATGTTCAACACACCAGAAGAGCTGATTTTAATTCATTTTTAGCTTTCAAATTCTTACATTTTTCATCGGTTAATCTTTCCAGGTTTGTTCCTAAAACATGATAAAAGTTCTTTTATCATGACCAAGTTATTTTTTTTATTTCTTTATCCCCTGATATTAGTTCAGGTATTTGTCCAGGACCAAAGTTAAAACTAAAGGAATCAAATGACAGATGAATAAGAGAAAGAAAAGTTGCATCTTCCATACAAATGAGATTTGGAAAAGACCTCCCAKGACTTTAAAGGACTCAGAGTGGCTTTAGTGATTATCCTTGAGGTATCAAAGGTAAAATTTCAAAGAATGCAAATATTCTCTCTTGGGATGTCCTTTGAAACAGGCCTCAGAAATTTCTGAATAGCCCCAAAGCAGACATGCCCACAACAATCTCAGCCTTTTCACATGAGGAAAAAGGATTTGTGCATAGGGATCAAGTGACTTCTACATTATTTTCAGTAATTTCTAATTCAAAGGGCTCATAGCCAGAATATTTGTACAATGATCTCATGAAATATTTCTGCTTCTCCAAATAGATTTTTCATTAAAGCTAGAAACGTGGATCGTAAAACAGTTGAGATTAAGGCAGGAGGGACGGGCTCTGTCAAGCTCCATAAAATCTTGCGGTGTCACAGCTGACATAACCTTTGCACAAGAGCTCCATAAAATACAAGGTCTATGGCAAACGGCTATTTTTCTCCAAAGCTGTAAGYGACCAGATAAATGGGGAATTGCCTGAATATATCCTTAAAATGCTTCTCAGGTATATTTTTAGGAGGCATTGGAAAAAAATGCCAATTCCAGACTAAGAACCTCTGATGATTTTTGTCTCARACAGCAGGAGCTATTGCTTGCATAGCAAAAGCTGTAGAAGGGTTCTGGCATCTTCTAACAGTTTACCTCTCTCAGAGCTAATAAATACACAGACTTGCTCTCTCTCAGCAAAGTATACGCCGTTACAGAAGCAATTAAATCACAGAAATAACACTGTTTGGAGGCCTGAAGTATGTTCTTAGCATTCTCAAACAGAAATGGTTTCAGGAGGATCATAAGCTTTCAGGAACTCATTTTTTAATGCTTACTTGTTGCATATTGAAGAAAAATGTTTCTACACAAATCAATCCATTAAAAATAGACTTCAGCTAGCACAAATGGCTTAGACTGGGCCAAGTGGAGTTGCTTTGGCATTTACGTTGTAGCATTAAGAGGCACTGAGATTCATGAGAGCTCAAAAGACCACTGGTGGCCAGAAAAATTTGCATTTGAAGGGTCATATCTACAGCAAGAGCAAACACAGACATATGTGAACACATGCTCAAAGAATGAAAGGAACAAGACTTTTGGAAAAGCTGAGGAAGAGATTTGCCAAGTAACTGCAAGACTAAAATAAGAGTTTACTAGTTACAACTTAAAATTTAAATAAGAAAATGAACATTACCATCTGCACAGTAATTCTCCCCAGGAATACAGGATCTTCTCTGGACAATCCTTTGACACATCACCAGTGCCACTGGAGAGCTCATTATCACTCTCTGGAGAAAAAAATAAACAAGACACACAAAGGAAAAAATAAAAGCATGGACAAATTTATAAAAGAGAACAGGTATTAAAGAGGCATACATATAAGACACAAGTATCATACAAATTCTTCTGGCATAATATTTTTAAAAACAGCAAAACAGACAGAAAATATTAGAGGAATTGTAAGGAATGCCTGGTAGCCTTCTCATTAAATGAATACACTAACAAAATTATCATAAAGACTCAGATAAAATGGGGGAGGGAGAGGCAAGAATTCATAGCACTTGATCAAGGAAAAAGCCAGGAGTTTGAAAAGGCACCATGAAGAGGAGAGTGAAGGAAGTTAATACCCATTTAATGAGATGTCACAAGGTATTATATCTCAAAAGCTGCATCGACTACAGATTTCCCATAGAAATGAACTCTCTTATAGAGCATAGCACATTACATAACTTTCTTTACAGTGTTTCTCTTGTGTGCCGTTCTGCTCACACGAATTACTCTGATCTCAAGAAAGCTACTCTCTTCAGAACCATGAAATCATTTTTTACTGAGCCAAGCTCATGGAAGAGCAGAAAAAGAACAACACTGTGACATTAAAGGTCACACTGCATGGAGAAGAAGAGAGTGCTTCAAATAATACTGATGATATTTCTTTTCTAAGAACAAATGACTTAGAGGGACAGAAGTCATCACATATGACTAACATTAAATATGTGTGTATATATTTTATATGTATATATATATATATTTATTTTATATATATATATATTGTCCCTTCTCCGTAGAAGGGAGAGTCTGGAAGAGTATGCTCAGACAGATTTCCGAGCGTCTTATGGGTGGGCTATGCCACTGTCCACGCAAGCTGAATTGAATGGCCTAACTTCTCACATTTAACTGCAGTTTTCACTTTTTTGGGGCCTTTTCCAGGTTTTACCTGAACAAAGTATTGCTAAAAAACAGCCATGAGTTTATTTAGACAATACAAAATCTGAACTTTTTTTTTTTTTTTTTTTTTAAACAGAACTTACCAGGTTAAGGGCATTGTAATCCATGCTGTCTATTCTCAATCACATTCTTACCCTTCATATGTTTAAAAATGTTTTTTTCAGAAGGATTTGCTCCATCACCTTTCCATAGATTGAGGTTAGACTGGTGAATTGGTTTGGTTTTCTTGTTTGTTTGTTTGGAAAGCAATTTGCATGTGATTTACATGAAGGACAGTGTTTTAAACTGGCCTGTAGAGATACCGCTGGGATGGAGGGAGGATGTTCAGATGACAGGGTTTGCGTACAGGGCATCTGTTGTGATATATTAACAAAGGCAAACTAGGTGTCCCCAAAAAAATGGTCTCTTTCAAAAATCTATAGGGAAATTCAGGAACAAACTAAAAAACATGAATCTAATTGCAAAGATTGGCAGCCTATTAGATATATATAATTTTGTGCCTACTCCATTTAGAAACACTCATTATATAAATTATTCATTATATGAGTAGACAATTTGGAATAGAGCACAAAGAATTGTATTTTAAGTGGCCCRGCACTAACCTTTATTATGTTGCAATACTCTATTGACTAGACTCAATTAGAACTTTTCTCCCCTTTTAAAAAACAGAAGTCATCTTGTAGAATTAAGAAAGTTGGCAAGAAACACCTCTGCCACTCTGGAAAAAAAAATAAACTTTGCCTCATTATTTTTGGTAACCAATGATTTTTGAAGTGTTTTCTGATGTGGCCTGTCTTCCACACAACAGGGGCACCACTTTAGATATAGTGTGATCCAGAATAGCCTAAAAGGCTATTTTTAATGGAAAACAAAGAGAACTCAAAATTACTATAATTATCTTTGGCATCAAAGAACAATAGAGGAGTTTGTACGTGCTTTTATCATAAACAGTCATAAAATATCTAGAGACTCACAAGACCACTCTATGCAGTAAGATGGGAATATACATTTGGAAAACCTGCAAAATTGAGATCAGCCTTAATGACCTCCCTGCAAAATTCTTTTTTTTTTTCTGAAAAATCTTTGTCTCTGTGCTTTTTTCTCCAAAAGAACTGTTTCTTTCCTCAAAGAACATGTTCTCCAGACTTCTCATTATTTCTAATTTCTCTTATCCTTCAACTAGTCTATTTTTTTCAGAAGAGAGAGGTTCAGACAAAACACTTAYGCATCAAGAGTTCAAAAGTGAAGAAAAATTATAACTATTATAAACAAACACACCAAGAGAATTAAACATACACATTTATGTGCATGTATAGATACAAATACACACAGCGTGCACACACACATACACAGTTTCAGCCTTATCTTACCCCCCGTTCATTTTAAGAGTATATGTTTTCTGAGCCCCARAATATGGAGCATGGAACAGTCTTCAATGACTCTCCAGCAGCACTAATATATTGTGCAAAATCTATAACAAAATAATTTGATAGAACAACTCAGGAAAAACTCAGCACAGAATTTCCTCACGGATCAGCCAATTGACAGAGTCTCTGGAACAAAAGTAACCAAGGATGCTGACTGGTATTGTCCATCAGGAACAATATCACAATCACAATTCCCGTGATTGACAGGAAATGTCAATCACATCAATATAAATTAAGATATTAAAACCTTTTGAATATTTCAGATCTCACTGCTTTTAAAAATAGCGAGAGGGGTGGCATAAGCCTACTATTGCTTTTTACTTAAGAGTTCCTTTAAACATTACTCTTCTCAACCACACTTAACACCAGTTGTATACATATACACTATTCTTCCAATAGCTCCAGCTGCCCTTGAAGAAATCCATGAGATGAACTGAAGTATGACTTGACTATAATAATATCTTAGAAGTCAAATCAATTTACCGATTAATCAAAAAGACAAATAAAGCAGAGTACTACACTGTTGGTTCAAAGGAAAAAGTGAAGTAGATACTAAAATGAGCGTAAATGCATGAATATCATAGCACAGAAAAATGAACAGGTGAGTTTGCCCACTGATGTGAAGGAGGAAAAATAGACTAAGTGAGTTTCAATTGAGAGCTCTTACAAGTGAAATAAAGAGTAGGTGGAACAGAGAAATAATAGAGCCTGAGCAGGCTGAGCAGGGCAGCAAAGCTTGTAGGAGAAAAATTAGGTCATGAAGGTAGGTGGGAATAGAATGGGAATATTTCAGAAGAGAGAGAGMGGTTTTTATGTAAGAGAATAAGGAAAATCAAGGGGGAACTGAAGCTGGCAGCATATTATCAGAGCAAAAAGATATAGATGTTACTGACACAGCATCATTCAAAACACACTAGATGAAAGGGGATCGTGAGAAAGGCCACAAAAAAAAAGTTTCCATTTATAAGGTAACAGGAAATTACAGAGCATGAACTGAAGTTTTGGCAGGAAAGACAAGAGAAAAGCAAAGTTTAAGTCACGAAATTATCTTGTGTCAAATAATACGGAGTTTCAGCAAGGTACAACTTTCCTATGCACTACAAATTATTTTACTGAAGATGAAATTCAAAATATATTTCAAATTATACTTATGGAATTAAATCATCAATAAAGTTTGCATCAGGAAAATAAATTTTAATTTAGAAATAAAAGGTTTCAGAAATCTGAACAAAAAACTCGCATTAAATTCTGCTTACAAGAAAGACAATAATAAATTACACATTAACTTGAAGAAAAATAACTAATTCAAACAAACATCTGCTGAAACACATATAAAGATAGTAAAAACGAAAGAACAGATATCCAAGTTCTTCAATTAACAAAGAAAAGTAGTACTGGATTTTTTTTTTTTTTTTTTTAATGACCTGTTGAAGATATGTCTATGTCCCTTAAGGCTATTCTAACAAGGAAAACAAAAGTGAAAAATTCCAGAATTCTGGAAAAAAATCAAAAAAAAAAATCAACAAACAAACAACCTCTATATGTCAACAGTGAAAGCTGACGGAAYAGCACAGGAGCAGCTGTGTCTTTCACTCACAGTCACATTCATGCTGCCTACAATAATGGCATTGATAAATRTTATATAGAAGTTTGTGTTTATGTGCAAAATGTCTTAAATTCACATGCTGACTAGCAAGCACAGAGGAGACTGAAATCATCTTGTTATTCGAAGTGGTTAATCAAATTGACTTTTTCTTCCTTTTACATGCAATAAGCATTTCTGAATTTAAAATTCATCTTAGTCCCATAGGATGTAGTTTCTACATTAGTAATACATACACATGTATTACTGCCATATGAAATACAACTAAAAAAAAAATTGAAAAAACCCTCAATTGCATATCCAAATCCACCTGCAGAAACATGGACAAAGAAATGATCCTCTGTGTTTTTCAATGAAGATATTGGGGACCGCCATGACATACCTAAATTTGGTGTTTAAGTGCTTAAAGATGAGGAAGGGAGTGGAGGAAATGATTGCTTCTGCTCAGTAGTTCTGCTCCCACACAGATGACAAAGACAACTAAATGCTGCAYGGTGGAGGTATTCTTGTAAATATAAACATCTTCCAAATGTGCTAGCTGAAAACTGGCATCTTTGAGAAGATGCAAGAAAATCAGGTTTGAGATGCTGCCACAACTCTAAGACAAGRCAATTCTTATTGCCTTATTATAATTTCAGAAATGTGTAGATTAGTTTGATATAACCAAATGCAAAACATTATAAACACATTAGAATTGTGGACTGCCCARTATTTACTTAAAGTGACAAGGCACTGTTCAAGCCTCTGATTATAAAATACTTTAGGATTGGACAAAATACTAGAAAATTAAAAAAGACAGGCACCGCACTCTAAGGTCAACAATTATTTATAGAAAGTTGAGGAAAACTATATATTGAGAAAAGTATTTTTAATCCCCTTTCTTTAAAGGTGTTTAAATAAGCTTATTTTTTAACTCATGCAAAAAGTGAAGTTATGTGAAGCYAGTATGGCCCTCTAAGGCACATGCTACTTAAACTCTGGCTCTCGTGACAAAAAYATGAGAAGATCCTCTAGTAGCAGGAGACTCTCATTCTTAACAGGCCAATGGGATGGCAAATCCTTTCTCAAATTACCTTCAAACTACTGCACTGTTCATAGGTAGACAAGGAAAATAAGGTAGTTAGAAAAATAAAGTGCTCAAACCATTCAAAATAACTGGTATTATCTGGACAAGGTACAAACACCAATTTATCCTCATTCATTAGAGAAAAACRTCTATTTTGTATCACAAACTGAAGTGCACTCAAGGAACTGAAAAATCCCTCAGTTTTGAAGTCATCTCTTTCATTCAGCAGGAGAAGCAGCCACAAGAAAAGCTAAAGAGCCCAGAGATTCTCAGGAACTATTCATGAGCCACACAGCAGAATCATACACAGGGAATTATCTATTGCCTCAAACGGATCTTATCCCAAAAAGCATCCACACATATGTTTCCAAGCAGACCACAGGCAAATGCGGAGATCTGGGCTATATTCCAGTAATCTGAGACCCCCCATCAGGTGTCCTTCGCTCTATTTCCCTCAGAAAGTAAGGCTGGAAATAATTTTCAAATTCTCTTGTAGTTTCATTACGATTCATACTGGACTTGCAACCCCAAAAGTTCTTCAAACTGAGAACATTCAAAATATTTGCCTTTTGAAGGCCATGCTTGAATGAACCATTTTAAACATAGCTCTAAATATCAATACAATTTCCATCATCCAGGGCAAATTAAAAGACACACACAGCTCTTCTGCACTTTTTTTTTTATATATATATATATATATATTAAGAAAGGGTTCATATTCCTTCTGTCAGCACAATATTAGCTACAGAAGCCAACTGAGCTAATTTCTAATAAAAAAGTTTAGCTCATAAAGCATGAAAATCTAGGGAATGGAGACACAGAGARTATTTTCTTTTCATTTGAAAGCTAACTATTCACATTCCTCAGAAGTAGCTGAGGAATTTTAGCCCCTGCAACCCTACTTTGTTTTGCATTTTGACAAATAAGCTGTTCCTATGAACTACATGAAACTATGTATTTTAATTTGGATAAAAATGTAGAGTTGACTTTTTTCATATTCCTAATGTCATTATTCCCACTCCCTAATCCTCATTTGTTCACATAAATCTGCATCACAAGCCCCTATTTTATCACAGAGTATTCTTAATAGCTATTATTGCCTCCCAAATTACCATCTCTTCTGCTCCTGCTTCCTGCTTTTCCACTCCCAAGAACACTCTCTACCCATTCGCATTTGACCCAGCACCCCACTATAGCACTGCTGATCATCTCCGATCCCTTAGGATTGCCTACTCCTCACCTACTCTCCCCACACAGCCTTTCTCTGCTGTCCCATCTATGACACTCTCAGATCTACCTGATCATTGCAGGATTCTCTATCTTTATTTAACTTTCATTGTAAAATTTCTCAACTTCCACACTGCATTTCAATATCTCATGCATTATTTTTTTCTAATAAAAAGTATCTCTTTCAATTTATTCTTGGAGTTTACAGCTACACAAAACCCAGACAGAATCTAACACCCTGTTAATGTTTGTTTTATTTTTTTTCTGCTGACCCTTCTTCCTCCTACAGTTTAATATTTTTACAGCACTTCAGCTTATTAAAAACCAGTAAATAAGCACCAAGCACATTTCGATAACATTATTGTGGTTATAGGTCTACTGCTTATGGATTAGGATCTGCTATGCTGTCAAGTGGATTCCTATTCAGTTCCCTGTCATCAGAAAAGTAACACCCAATTATCACAGAAAATCTATTGCTTTAACAAAACAAAGGCACAAACCCAGACATACTGCACTCCTGGGAAGCATTTGAGAATTATTCTGTAATTCACGTTCAGAATCTTCTTTTTGAAGACTTGGTAGACATATTATCTTTCYCTTACAAATTAAAATATATGCATATATAAAATTCTAACCACTTGAAAAATTTAAGTTTAAAAACTTAAAAATATGCACTAGAACAAGCTTTTTTCAAAAAAATTATTAAGTCAGTGCAATTAAAAAATGTCTTCCATTGCAACGCACTAGTAAACTGGTAGTCTTTTTCTTTTCTAAGCATTTTCTCCTATTACGAATTATCTGGYTTTGGAATATCTGCTTAGGAAATCATGTTTAATCTGTAATGACTTGGAACAAGAGCAAATAAGCAGACACTTGGGATCATATAAAAATTCAGAGGGAAAAAAGACATTCAATTAACTTACAGTCTACTTGAAAGACTATGGAAAGAAACACACTATGTCAGGCTTTTAAAACAGAATTGCTTCTATTTACCTCCCAACTACATTCTGCTTTGAAAGGAACACTAAATGAATTTATAAAATAGTCTCTTGAAATTCTGTATTATTTAGAAAAAAAAAGTTAAAATATATAAATAGCCAAAGACAGGTCAGTTTCACATACACTCTAAGCAAGCTCTGCTGCTAAAAGAAACCAAGCTATTCTCCCGCATCTCATTTGTCACCGTCTTCTCTGCTCTATAACCTCCTTGGGAATGCCCCTGCTGCAAAGCAGTTTTCTGCCATCCTCAACCATACACATGCACGAGCAGACGCTTCCTCCTCCCGTAGCACTGCACTACGGCGAGAAAGCCCCTGCAGCTCCGTATGGTTGAATAAGGCACTAAGCAAATCATCTCTGGTTCAGCCAAGAGTGCTCTACACTTTCCTGCAATCTTTTACTAATAAGGAACTACACACTTTTCTCCTTACTGCTAAAAATTAAATCCATTTTATTTGAAACCTCTCCAGGAAGTGTAACAACTTCCTCTCATATATCTGAATCTATTCCTAAATTACTTTTAAGAGAATTAAAGAGAACGCTTCTTATCGAAGAGTGTTCTTTAARATTTAGATTGGATAAGAAACTTTTAGTAATAATTATATTTTTAAAAAATATTACCTAAGGTTTCCTACATTGAAGATGACTAGGTGGCCAGAAATAGCTACTACAACATTACTCACTTTTTAAAAAATGATTTGATGATGATCTGAAATATCTATAAGTAGCTATGCATAATCTTTATGAAGACCTTTACCTTTTATACAGTTGTATAAGTTAAAAAAGATGCTTAAAGCTACAAATGTATTTATGAAATATATGATATCAATTTTCTTTCTCATGGAAAACATGTTTATTCACTCTCATTACATAAGACAGCTCACTGAGGTATATACAGAYATGCATGTCACATTGGAAGTACACAAAAATCAGGCTAAGTGAAAGCAAGATATACATTCCTACAGCATCACGCAGATCAAATTGCACTGCATAGTGCTTTTGAAGTAAACTGGGTTATATTCTATAGAGTAACATTCTATATGTCCGAAAATATATAGATAAAAAGGAAAAAAGAGAAAACAGATGATAATCCTCAATATCTGTAAATAGGAGCATAAACATTTAGCCTATAGAATAAGAAAGTCCTTTTAATACAATCTGTTCAAGTATGGTAGAAAGTTGAAGAAACCATATGGCCAGGTAGCTACTATCCTGAGCTCTAATGAAAAAAGAAATCTTTCTTCTAAGGCTAAGACAAGACTCTGAACTGAAGGGGTTGTGTTCCCCTCACCCATGATCATAATTAGTACCCTAAAAAAAGACAAAAAAAAAGAAGAGAGAGATTTATTTAGAACAACTCGCAGTGACTCATTTAACCTCCAGATCCACTAGGATTGAAAACTTCTAGGCAGAGAACACTTCATGTAGTTTCCATGAGAACAGGGTGACATCATCATATTTTTCATGTCTTCTCTTAGGAAGCAGTCTACATTTATAATATGGAAACTACATGAGGAAGCTAAGAGTTAATAGCATATAAGTTGTTATGCAACCTTGTTCTACCAAACAAGCTACAAATATCTTCTTACTCTATAACTCAAATATCTATCGTACAAAATATCCATAGATATTTGAGTTATAGAAAGCTTAACCACAAAACCAAGAGATCAGATTTGTAGTAATTATTATTAACAATAAAGTATTCCCAAATATCAATTTCATTAAAAGCTGACTTTAGAGAAAAATGCCATTTTTTACTATTCGTTACTTACCCTCTTCTGCCTCATCCTCCAGGGATGACATTGGTCCTCCTCCACTTGTTGGGCTGGCCAGTTCTTCATCTCTGGCAGACTCTCTTTGTAGACTGACAACTTCATAAATCGCATCTCCAGCACTTGTGTGGCTTTTCCCTTCAGACTAAAACAAAAGACATATATACACACATTAGGTCTGCCCATTGGAGGATAGTTCTAATGATGTTCCAAAACCAAGGCAAAATTTACATTAATCTCACTTGAGGGACTGAAGAATAACTTGCATACGACTCCCTCAAATTTCTTTGCAATGGCATATGCAGACTGGCAGCAGTATAAACTGTTTTTTTTCAAGTTTTATATTGAGAAAAACAAATACAAGTGTGCTGTTTCCAAAGCTGCCTCTGAACCACCATCTTAACCAAACATGGTTCAGAACTAGGATTAATAAAATGCTTTACTATTTAAACATAGCTTTAATGAGATGAAGTCAAAAAGAAAAAACAGCAAAAGACGCAAGGCGAAAAAAAAGTTCATACCTTTTAAAGGTCCAAAATTGTGAAAGTCTCCTATAGTGGTTATTTATAAAAGAACAGAAAAACTCATCTTTGTTACAGAGAGTGTAATATGTAATACATTTCTTTTCAGTGCAGAAATCTACTGACTGTACCTAGCTATAAAATATATAACAGTTTCATGCCTAACRTACTTGTATATATCAATCTAGCAGTTAAATTCTCTGGAAAAATTGAGTGTGGTATTTGTAATTACATATATTTGAGTCCAGAACATTTTCAGTGGAAAGCACTTTGCTCTGCAAAAGCAGTTTTTCCTCTCAGATTCATCTATATAGGATTTCAATAATGTTCAGGGCCAACTACCTCAAAAGCTGAGGGTGAGTGGAGTTGTTTGCTTTGTATTGTTTTTACTTCTGCCTGTTACACTTAAGAGTTTAATCCAGGTCTTTCCTGTTCAATGTATCCACTTGGACTTCCATATGGAAAGGGTAGTTACCATTTTTCAAATATTTGAAACACTGTTGCTTTAAAACACAAGTTTTAAAGCAAGCCAAGTATTTGTTCTTCCTCTGATTTACAGTTCTGAATTCAAAGCTGTCACTCAGTGAATCATTGTGATTAATGTACCTGTATAGAATTGTATAAAACTGCAAAGTAATAATTGCATTAAATGAACTAGAACCAGCCCAAAACTTTCAGATACTTCATCCCTTTTTTTTTTTTTTTTTGCCTTTATCATTTTGCTAAAGTAGTTAAAATACGGCATTTTTGAGCACACTAATACATCAAATTAAGCAAGGAAAAACATCCAAAAAAAGGCAACAAAAAGGCAAAGGAAACAATTTTATTTAGGGTATGTTCATAGTTTTGCTATTYAAACTAAATGAAAGACAAATATGCTTCTAAAAGGAAGAAATCTAATAGCAAGTTTACAGAAGACGTAAAAAAAAGTTTGATAGCAGAAATTCTACTAGAAAAGAAACAAAGAAAGAAAACCAACAACAAAACAAAATGTTCTTCCCCTTGGGAAAGTGCATGACACCTTTTGCGGGAGAGAGACATAAACTGCCAGGCAGTACTTGCAATTTCAACAAGCTGCTGAAATTCTTCAGTTGGGTAGTTGAAAGAGGGGCTGCTTCAACTGACACAATATAAATCATTTTATCCTGAGCAATTCTTTCTGGTGCAGTTTAAAGATATTAATCACTCAGATCTGCTTCCCTTCAGCCTGAAGATACTTCCTAAGACAGTCATGTGCTTACACTTAGCAGCCAGTTTTGCCAACTTCTGAAGTTCCTGATGAACTTCAGGGAGAAGGTATAAATCCCCTGTATTTTATAACATTTAGAAGGATGATATAAGAGCTATTATCTGTTTTATTCTTCCAGAACACCATTATCAAGTAATTACAAAGCTCTTGACTAAATCAATCAAAYGTTGATGTCACTAATGTTATTAATCACCACTACCCTTTTGAGGTGAAAGAGGCATGAGCAGCAGTACTGATTTTCCTGTGACTTACAAGAACTACAAAGTCTGCAGTTCCTCAGGTAGGTTCTGGTTCACCTAAATGACCCCATTTATTAATGCCTGAGCTAGCTGCCTACAAGTATCTGCCTTTATCAAGAACGTGTTCTGACCAAGAAGATATTTGCAAGTAATAGTGATATATGCAGGGCAATCCTAAAACACCACCTGGCCAGCTACGCTTCTGTCGTTCCTCACACCTGACTCTGCTTCACCAACCAGGTTTCACACTATTCAATTTATATGAATCTTTCCTCACCACAATTCTGATTTTTTTTTTTTTTCAGCTGATAAGGGAAGTTCCCCTCCAGCTCTTGCAATGAAATACAATTTTACTGCCTCCTTCCCTTTTAGCATCAGCAAAAGATAATTCTTCACCAGAACTGGTATCTTGCTCAGAGTGCCYTGATCAGAAGCATCGTGCCAAGGCGTCTGCCTGGTAGAGCTTGGAACTGTGCCTAACATATATGTTACATCTCCCCCACACACCAGCATACTATATTTGCACAAATGAATGCAAACATCATCCCAACAATTTTGCATCATCAGGTGAGCTACAGCACAAGATCCTTYGTCCTGTGTAGAGGAACCGTCTATCCTTGAAGCTGAGACTTCTGGAATCAATCTAATTTTGGGTCCCTAGAAGCCACTTAACTGCTTTCACCACAAGTTCTTAAGTGTTTGATCCCAACGTCAACTACAAAGTCATTGTCCAAGGAATAAGAGTATCCTGAGACAGCGCCTCTTTCAAAGGTATCCGCAGGAACATCTGCTAATTTTGATGTTGATATTTRGCTGAATAAAAATCTGTTACAGGTCTACAGAGAGGCCTACAGAAGAATCCTCCCATCCATCACCAGTGGATAATCTCATAGAAGAGTTACTATGATTAAGTGTTCCTTTTCTAAAAAATCTGCAGAACAGCTCCTCGGAAGTAGGAAGAAGTGCTAGCATGCATTTCTTCGGGGAGAYGAGGCGCACACATGTCAGTCATTGCATTATAAAAAACAAAACAGAGAAAGAAAGCATCCATATTATTCAAAAATTTAAAAGGCTATTTACTTAGAGGTTATTTAGAAGGTTATTTAGAAGAAAACGTCAGTTATTTAAGGATCAAATCACTGCAAATWCACTCTGCTCAAATACATGTTTTCAAATGTACTGTTCAAATTTACAAACGTATTTATACTCTATATCTGCATATGWTAGTAGTTTTTCTCAAATTTTCTCAAATTCCAAGTTACTATGTTAAACTCTAGAAGAACTACAGAAAAATTTTTGCATAAGATTTACTTACTCAGATGTTAAACACAACAGCACTTTTGTCATGTCTCCTCAACATTTTTTTTTCAGTGTAATCCACAAGATAACAGCCCACAAGATAACAATTAAATATTTACTTTAGAGCCTAAATTAAATCACTCTTCTTTGGCTTCAAGCAAAGAGAATAGCTCCCTATATKGCAAAGTCAGCCTATACTATTGATTTTTTGCACCAGAACCACAGGAGAAGTCTGATAAACTGGAATATTTCAGGGGAAATAATTTGCTAAAAACACTTTAGTCTTCAGTGATATTAAAATACTTCATGAGGTTATGAATACTGACAAAAATTACACAGATAGTTCTAATTTAGCACATAATTGCAACAATAATTTCCTTACCATCACCTTTCATAAATTTCTGGGGCAGAGAAGGAAAGCAGATTAAATCAAGCGGGACAAGAATCTACCATGAGCAGCCACCAACATGAAAATGCAGGAAACATATCTACACATCAGAACTTACTTTTTCAGATGAACTCTTACAAATTTCTCTTTTGGAAAACATTAAAAAAATATAACTTCTCAGATACTTTGAAATAACAGTAGTGACAGTCTGAATCTTAAACAATTGCAAAAGGCTTCTTTGACTTTAATTGATTTCATTCTCCCAGGAACCTATTCTCCAATTGCTAAGCCTTTGAACCTCAGCAGTGAGAATTTCCTTTTGTTAGATATAAACTAGTTTTACAATGAAAAATGAAAGACCCATTTCCTGATTTTACCAGTCTAATGGACTTGTTTTGGATACAAAGTTATCAATTCTTACAGTGGTAAGTAGAGAAAATAAAATGGCTTWTAAAACAAATGGTTGCAACTCATTCTAATTTGTGGGTTACAGACATATTGATTCTTTTTCTATACGCTACTTAAACACTATGCATCAAAACATTACAGAGGTAATTGGTTTAAAAAAGTAACACTCAGGATTCTTGTTACTTTCATGGAGTCAAAATAATTTAGACAAACAGAGTACCCTTAGCAACTACAACAATAAAATAAGCAAACAAAACCGCCCAAGTTACCTGTTTTAGCTTCATGTAAAAAGTTTCTGTGAAGGTTTTTCTGCTGAAATACCAGAAACGTTCATTAGCAGGATACACACGCACAAGAGTCTCCAGCAAGAAACGGACAGGCTCTACCACTTCGGTGACAACCATATCCACTGCAACAGTCATGAATACACGTTTATCTAAAACACAAAAATAAGTCACATACAGAAAAAAGCAGTCAATACATTTCTCAAAATGACAAACAAAAATTACAGAAGCAAACTCCRGTTGAAACTGAAACCTATTAAATTACTGATTCTCTTGCAAGCATTTTATTTGTCTAAATTCTACATTCTACATGTCTGCATAGGTAAGAGTATGCATTAATCAATACTCCAAGCAACTTCAGTAACTTTCTAAAACAAAGTAAATCTGTAGGAAGAGAAGTCAATTGTCACACAGATAAAACAGCATTGAAAGACACGATTCTTATCACAAGAAGACAATTGCACAGAAGAAGGTAACATTGAAAAGACATAAATCTTATGTTTGAGGAAATAGATACGTATAACAAATCCACATCAAGCATCTCCCACATCATTTCCAGCTCAAACCCTCTCGGAACTATAAGAAACACTTGGGACCGTTTTAACATTCATGTCCATACTCTGCCAGGTAGGACTCAAAATTCTCCTCAGGTAGAAAGGCTCAAAAAATAATCTCTCCCTGTCCCATGCTCTGGGTCACACAGTCTTTATCAGAGCAGTAAAACATGGAGCAGAAGTCCTAATCTATAATAGCTATCCCTTTCCGGTGCTGAGGCATAACTCAAACTTTCTCAAGTCTTGTAGAATGTAGGATGAGCTGACCAGAAGATCCCACTCAAATAGTCCAAGATCATCTTGCAGGTTCAGAGTGCAAAAAAAAAGATCCTGCTTCCAAGAGCACTCACCAGTGGGAGGTAGCAACCATCACTTTGCATGTCAGTTGCTGTCTTTCTTGAAAAAAAGCACAGCTTTTAAAAATAAACATTTAGAAACAGCTAAGCTCTCTTGTCTGCTCAGATCAAAGAGGCAAATTGTTATTTAAAGAAAAATATACACACAAGAAGACCCAGCTGTATCCTTAACTGTAAAATGGGCCAGGCTGTGCAGCGAGAGTTTTGCACACATGCTACAAGGCAGGAAGAAATTGGAAAATTCAGCAGCAAAAAGTGACACTAACATGTACTTGGATGTGTCTTTAAGTAGCCTCTGCCTTGCGACAGGAAACCAATTCCAGCTTTGCACGACAACTTTACATCACCACTCAAGGACCCCAATGCACTTCCATCAACCCCAAACTGAAGGAGAAGTAGTGCCATTTCTAAACAATTCGCTCCAAAGCATAAGGTAACATAAAGCATAAAAGTAACAGTAATGCCCAGGATTTATACTGCTCTCCTGAGTATATCAAGTGAAAAAACACTTTCTTAGAACCAATAATATTGATAAYTGAGGAAAACACATGTAAAGCCCAAATACTAACCTACTGGGACCAAATCAGTAATACATAGCTCAATGAACAATTATTCACATTGCATTTGTTTATATAGGCAAGTTCTGATCCTAGCCACAGATTATTGGGATGTCATGCTATAAGTACTCAGATATACACACTATGATYCCCAAGACAACATAATAGATCAAACCTATGCCAGATAAGACAAATTTACAGATGAGTTTAATTACCTTTAGGAGTTTCCTCATTAAGTACTACAAACGTTGGCATGTTAGGATTCCACATTCCAGTAATCACATAAGCCTTCCCATCAGAACTCTTTCCCATGGATTCCTAAAAACAAAAACATTTTGGATTTTATTAACTATTCTAACCAAAACCAGTGAGTGTTGAGAGGTTAAGAGCTTCAAAGTAATACCGTAAGTAAGCTCAACAGAGRATATGATCTAATGTTCTGAGAAAGGATATTAGGCAAGAAAAGAAAAGAAAAAAGGCTACTGTATATATGGAGCTGAAGACAAGAGAGCATCGACATGCTTTAATTCAGTGTTGGTGACAACGGACATCTTTGGGGGAATGTCAGCTATTGTGTTTTCAACTTATGAGCATCTGTAATGGTTGTTAGCACAAAGGATCAGTTATAAGAAACTTGAAAAAATTAAACTAGTCATGAGTTCAGTATTACCATGTCCAATAAATACATATCACTGTTCTTTACATTTCGTCCAGGACTTAGCAGCATACCAAAGCATCTGTAAAATAAATAATAGTTTCAAATATAAAAATATTTAACTTTTTTTAAACATAGAAAAAAACCCTTTCCTAAATTTTTATTAGTGTTCTATTACACACTAATATCAGAAAACTCCACAATATGTACTATAGAAGTTACAATGAAATTATTTTACAGAATAAGGATAGAATTGGTATCCTAGCTGTGAACAGGCAAATAGTCTTAAAGATGACTTAAAACACTGACTTTAAAGATATCAGCCATTACACACACATTAGTGTAAGAAATTGGCAAGAAGAAATTCACTCTCACACTAGTCTATTTTTAAAAAATGCTTTTATACAATTATATGAAAAGTTGGTACTTTCATATGTTCTATCCCCCATAATGTCAGTAGTCCTTAAAAATACCATCTGTTAAAAATAAAGGAAAAAAATGCTAAGTTTAATCTTGACAAGGTAATCTTGTACATATTTCTGTGATTTACAGACACAAGGATCTTTTTTATTCACTAAGCTGCATTGCGGATCTGTGAGACAGTAAACMTAGGTGAGAAACAGGTCAAAAATGTAACTGTTCCTCGACACAGAGTCCTAATGCAGCATAAACTGCCAGATTTCATTTTGCCCAGACACATTCTATACCACCTCCATTATTATCCTATGTAAAACAAGGAGTGATCTGATAAACAATTTACAGGCTATGTAGCTTCCTGACACCCTTTCCACAAGACTGAAGATCACTACTCTTCTAGTTTATCTGCTACAGAAAACGCAAAGGCCAATGTTCAGTGGCAGGCAAATTATCTGTGCTTTTCGAAGACACAGGCTCACAGGATCCTAGCTCATGCTGTGCTCGTCTCAGACGTGCACAAGTTCTGATATAAGCCAGCCAAAGTCTTCAAGCAGGAGGTCTCCAAAAAMACAGCCGCTGGAAACAAGCAACTATTTCTTGCAAAATAGATGCTTATGACAATTGGCAGCACTTTGCCAACCAACCAGTAATGCCAACCAGCTAGTCAATACTCGATACACCAGCTCTAAGGACGAGACTTCAAGCATTCCAATTTCAACCTCAGGTCCATCTACAGAAGTTGGGATAACTGTGTGGCTAGTCTTATACTCTCTCAAGTCCCACTACTAACTCCTCTAAATCACCACATTCCATAAAGATTCCCTATCCTAGAAAAGAGATCTATGCTTTATTCACAGATGAAAGGCTTGACAAAATCTTTGTGAGAATACACACTGACCAAGCAACCAAAATACTCTACAGGATATTTTCTTCACATAGTGCTTTCCTAAATGACTCAAACATACAGGTTCACATATACGCAGACACTATGGATTGAACAGCAGGCTATACTTTTGTCAGTCCCAAATATAAACATTCACACAAAGCCACAGTATAGGTTTTATACCAACACACAACACAGGGCTCAACTTCAAACTCTTATTAAGGGAAGTGAGAAGAATACCAAGTCTCTAGCCCAATTCAGAAGTGCATTGAGTTAAAGGGAGCGGGGGGGGAGACTTAGTCCGTGCAGGTGCCAAGTGAAGATGCCAGCTCCCCTTCCCCATATTTCAAGAAGTCTTCCTAACCAATATTTCCTGCTGCAAAGCTGGTCTTTAAACAAATTCTCATGCAGGAGCACCATCACGGTTTTCATTCCAAGAACTGGCCATTAGTCATTCAGCAACATGAGACAGACACCRCTAAGCTGTGAGTAGGTGTTTTATTGCCTGGGACATTTATAGATTTTATTTTTAATCAATATTAGGAGAAGGAAAAAAAAAAAAAAAAAGATATGTTCTGCTTTTGTTACTTCAGCCTGACAATTTTTTTTAATTTTACAAATACCAGAGACTACATAATTTAAAATTATTCAGAATTGCTTAAAATTATTCAGAAATGCTCAACACACACAGAACTTACCATTATTCATCTGAATTTTCAAGCCAAAATTATTCAACTAAGAACAGACGGAATATAGGATTTTTTTTTAAAGTATCCGCCAAAATGCAATTTTATAAACCAAAATAATTTCAATAAATTAAGTTTCCTGTATTTTTATTTCTTATATAACATTTGATCTTCATTTTTGACAGAAGAGCTTGAAAACAAGTGAAGAGATAATTCTTAGTTTGGATTTTTGATTCTCCTCTTATATTCAACTCACTATTCACTAAAACTGAAACCCCACATTGTTAATTCTTTCGGTAAGATTGCCATCTGGTGGTGTTCACTATTTTTAAATTCAGTTATTGAGAAGGAGTTTTCTAATTTAAACTAATCTAATCATTACTGCTACCGTAATAACGAAATTTCATTAGATCCGGATGATATAGGTTACTAAGCCCACATAGCAGCTTCCCACTGTACCTTTCTTGGATGCTAAGTTGCTTCATTAAAGATTCAAATAATATATATTTTTTCAGAGCATCTTATAAACGACGCTCTTTTTTTGTTACCAGCTACTTCATTCTGAATATGTGAAAAATAGTACTAAGGCACGATTCAGTGATGGCTATACCAATTACACGGCTTCTATAAAAAAAAAAAAAAAAAAAAAAACCACACTTCACAATGTACAACTAGAACGCTAACTCTGCAATTCTGACATCTGACATCTGTAATGTGATTACTTGAAAGGAACATCAGAAGTATCTTCCACACCAGTAAATATGCCTCACAAAAGGGGGAAAAAAATAATAATTAAAAAAACTCTAACTTGAAGACTAGAAATTTCTCCTAGTTGTGTCCAGGATATATTAATCTCTAGATTCTTGGGAGATGAACATACATCTATAGGAAAATTTCCTGGTGACATTTTATACCGATCTTACCTCTCAATGGCCAGTTCTTTATTGGAGAGTTGTTGGACTGTAATCACCACTTTCTTCTCAATTCCCTGTTTAAGTTTGAAATAAAATTTCTCTCTATCCTTTGGCACAGGGCTAAAAGAATAAAGAAATAATTCTCCTGAGCATGGGTATAGATGGTTAGCTGTTAACACAGAGGAGACAGTAGTAAACTGCTTAGGTTCTCTATGTCTCAGCACTGCAAAAAGATTAACTCTTATTATCAACTCTTYATTTCACTCCCCAAATCTTGTTAAGTAAAAGCTGTCTTTTAAGTAAGAAGACTTTGTTTCTCTGTCCTTTCCAATGCTCAGAGAAGTTTACAGTTCTCTAAATCATTAACAARTTTGGATTTTGTACCTTTAAAAACAACAAAAAAAAAAGATAAAAAGAGAAAATAAAGTGCATTTATTTTGGAAAGATGATTTCATAGAAATTTGTAAATGACTTCTGATTATCTTTTTCATTTACACAGGCCTACCTTGGCTATCCCTATCTAAAGTATGCTTTAAAAATACAAATAAATAAAAAGCTTGTTTAATCTTTTTACTGAAAATATACAAAGAAGAAAAAGCAAAGCAATAGCTTCTTGCTTATAAGAGTTAACTAAAGAAACCAAGGCAGTCTCCCTATCAGTTAGAAAGATTTCTACTTTTCATTCTTCATTCAGATTACCTAAAATTTCCTTTTCCATCATCTTCTTTGACTTCTAAGGAAACACTGAAAGTGTACACATCACTATCTGGAGTAGGAAGAACAAAGTCCTTAACATTATCAGATGCTTGTTTGGAAGAACGTTTGAATGCTGTTGAGAAACTATATAAAATCCTGCTGACCTGCAGAAAAGCAAAAGAACAGTATTATCATAGATATATGTATTTTTTGAGTAATATTGCAATATATTATCCTAAGGAATAAAGTCTCAAATATATGAAAGGTTTTGAAGGCTAGATGGCTAGATTACCATCACTTACTTGTCTCTCCCGTTTAAAAAAAAAAAAAAAAAAAAAAAAAATCAAAAGCCACTAGCTGTTTGTTCTTGCACATGTTGATAAGAAACGTTTCTTTTTTTCAACATCTATTTGTCAACATTACTAAAACCTCTACTCTCAAATACACTTTAGTTCTTCCCTAAATGTGAGTAAATGTAATGATCCTACATAAGTCTCAAAGTCTAAACTGCAACGTTAGTCTGAATCCCACTGATACAAGGACCAATCCCCACCTCAAAAGACTTACCGCCTCTTTAATCTCACAGGAGAAAACATGAATCTGGAACTCTTCTGTTCCACAGCTGCTTTCAGTAAATGCAAAACAGTCACTCTCTGAACTCCCGTTTTGTCCACGTACACAAAACAACACTTTGTAGATTGGAAAAGAGGCTTTCTCTACGTTGCTTGATTGGTCTATTATCCTGTTAAGGGAAGGAACAGGACCAAAAGATCATTCAAAACAGACCAACCTACCTACAAGATCTTTCAGCAATTAGATAAACAAATATCTACATTAGATAAAGAAGTATCTCAAACTCTAACTACTCCTAAATCCAAGTATACAAAATTTGAAAACTGATAAGTAAGCAGTATCACATTCTATATCATTATCCATATGCGACAACCCAAACGTGAAGCCCAAACAAGTGATAACGTTTCTGCTTTGAGCTTCAAGAGACTGATACCCGAACCCGCAGGTATGTCTAAAGTGCAGGGAGCTCTCAATTCATGAGAATGAGCTCCCCAGACAAAAAGGCATCTTATCATATCTGAATGAACAAGCAAGCAGAAAGATATGCTTTGTAATATATAGTTGTTATACAATGCAAATCAATATATTAACTTGGGCTACTTTTTATTGCCTCACAGGAATTTCTCAAAATTAAATGCCTTTAGCAATAATTTTAGTTACAAATCCAACTAATTTCTTTCATTTCATTGTGGAAGAAGGAAGCCCTAAGTTGAGCTTTGTCTGTGCAAATAATAAAAAGTAAGAATAAATAATATATCCGTGTGTGCACTACCTTACAGAGCCTTCAGGAACATTTGGAACATAAAGGGTCACAGATAATGGGGCTTGACTTGAGGACTTCATAGCTGCCATTGCACGCAACGCTTCTGGTTCATTTCGAGGGGCAGACACCTTCATGCAACCTAAATAAGTCAGTTTATTAAACAATACGCTGTCCTCTTCCAGGGGTTCAATGGGGGAACAGGGTCTTGGTGTAGAGATTTCTGGAAGAGAGAAAAAAAAAAAAAGTTTAACCACTTGTCTTTCTTTTTACATATTATTTTCTGAGTGAACTCAATAATAAAAAAAAAAAATCACCTAGTAGTTCTTTTTTCATTCATGCTAACGTACTACTCTGTTTTAAGCCCTTCAGTCTGCAAAAACTGCACCAAACAAAAAGCCAGTAAGGCAAGTTCTCCAATATGCAGCATACATGCAAGTAAAAGGGCATTTCCATTATATTAACTTATGTACCTCATTCTAAAATGGAAAAGTGTGTGTGTGGGGGGGGGGGGTTGTTTGTTTTTTCATTTTTTGGGTTTTTTTGACAAATAAATACGATGGGATATATCTGATCTGACACCATGGAACTGCCCTGCATACTACCGAGGAAAAAAGAAATCTAACTTAAGGTCCATAAACATGGCCACAACCTTATATTTTAATATTAGAAAAAAAAAAAAAAAAAGAAAGAAAGAAAAAGTAACTAAGAATTTTCCATTCTTTCATTTGTATGTCCGAAGGTGATGGAAAAGACCTGAACTCTTCAGTAAATTATTCCTTTCTTATACCCTGTCTGAATGTTATTAAAAATGCTTTAGGAAAGCACAACTGAAATATCTTGTCTCAAACCTCAACTCCAGTGCAGTTCAGCTAGCTACCTGAAACTTAAATCTGACCTAGGGCTTAAGACAAAGTAAGTACTATTATCTTGACCAAAACAATTGATGAGCATAGGGTATCAATCTGACAACTGTCTACTCCAACCTTGATCTGAAAAGGAAAGGAGGCTACAGGGTATCTCCAGTATAGTTTTGGGATGGAGTCCCAGAAAGCCTTATATTCRTTTTAAGATGAATTTGAAAACACAGAGGGAAAAGCTACCACTTTGGGGAGAGATGGAGCTCTCTTACCAGTACCTGAAGTAGAAGGGTCTAAAACAAGGTTCAAGGATAGCTGATTTGTGTGACTTGCTGATACATCTCCACCTGCCTGGCTGCAGACATCAGCGCAACCTTCCTGCTCAGCAGTATAGCTGTTCTGCTCTTTTTCAGAATCCCTCAGGATCTCCTCCATTGCCTTCTCCAGTTGTTCATCACCATTTGAAAACACCTGTAAGAAAACAGAGATGACACTTGAAGAGCTACTTGCATGAAAATATTATTTACAAACATGGAGTTAGACTAATTGTAAAATGAAATTTGAAATGAAACATGAAATGAAATTCTGCTAAACAAGAGAATACACTAAGTACCTATGACATTGTATCATAACACAACTGARAAAGGGCGGTAATATTAAATGACACTGACCACACAAGACTTTCGAGATCCACTGAACATTTGTGGCCRTGATTCATTATTTCTTTCTATTTAACTAGATAATAGTACTAAAATTAGCAAAGAAGTTGCTATGCTAGAAAGAACCAACCAGTAAAAAGAGAGTATAAGTATTTAATAAATTCAAAGTGGAAAAGGAAAAAAGAAGGCACAGCTTACTGTAACGTCAACTTCTCAGGTAGACAGAATTTAAAAAAAAATGACCTCAACACGAACCAAAAAAGTTGTGCTACCCTGGGCTCATTTAGATGACCAAAATAAAAATAACTGTAGGTAGCAATACTTGAAAAGTAAATCAATAATATGCATTATGTAATGTATACATGTAATACTGTACAATAGCACATATATACTTGAATATATAATTTAAAACAATACACACATTTTTTCACTAGCCAGCTAGTGGGTTTTTGTTTTGTTTTGAAGATTTATTGAGAATAAAAAAAAGCACAGCATTCTCCATGAAGTCAGATGTTTTTGAAAAGATGATCGGAATACAGTTTTGTTTCCCTTGGCCATTCACTATTTCAATCAGCTCATGACTCTCTGCCAAACTCTCATATCTCCTGAAATCCAGCTCACTGAYCTCTATGTGTTTATAGAAAATAACAGGCAACAGAATAACATGCTTCTGACAAGCAAAAGGCACATTAACTTTATGAATGCATTTCTTACATAGTTCTCCATCTGTAGAACTAGTGCATCACAAATCAAGGTACAGAGAGAACAAATAATCCAGCCACAGTCATGTACTTCCCCAGTCACATACCATGACAATAGTCGAGCCAGCCATTTGCATTCTAGTTTCACATGCCAGTCTGTTGCCCTTCCCATGAGTCAACATTGACAGCAATTTTTCTGTACAGCAGAGGATGCTAACAGTTACCTAAAAGCTCAGTGCAGAAGTGCACTGGAGCCCTAGTTTTCAGGGTGAACAAAATTCAGTCAAAAATAACCCCAGTACATATAATTCATTTGTTCTCACTCTCAGTAAAACCAGTAAAAACTACAGACCTCCCATTGGAATTTCAGATTTGTCCCTTCAGGTCCTCCATTCAAAACAAACAGGGAAAGAGACCTTGTTGCAGCCTTGTTTTATAGAAAATTCTACTTTCTTAGCAATATCCAATACATTTCAGCTATTTCATCTATCCAACCACAGACAGGAGGTGAGCAAGTGCCAGGGAAGGGCAAGCAAATGGTGACAAGACTCATTCAACATAAAATACAGACTTCTACAGRGGCCAGATTTCAGGGTTTAAAAAAATAATTAATTAAAACGGATCGTGGTTTCTATGTCCAGCCCACACACCTTTTTCCCCCAATACGGTTACTAAAGCAGAAGTTTAACACGCAAACGGAAATCATCCATTTGCATAAATGCTTAGCAGTTTTTTAGAGACAGACAAAGTGCTTATTGTCACCTCAAGGGGGCAAATTCCTATTGTCTCAAATCAGTCAAAAGCAATAAATCACAAAAGCACTGCAACTGAGATGGAGATCTCTAATGAAGCAGCTAGGTGTGATCCCAATGTTAACTAAAATATAAACTAAATTAAAACACACAGAAAAGCAAGATCTTGTATGGTCTATATCCATGTGGCCTGTTACTTTTTTTTTTTATGAAAATAACCTTCATAGTCTCTGAATCTGAAGTAAAGAATATTTCTTAAGATTCAATGTTAAACTGATCCTTCAAATAGATTTTTAAAATCTTTTTTTTTTTAATACAAAAATCCATAAAATGTTAACAAAGTTGATTCCTAAAGAAGTTAGTATAAGAACAACTGAACTAACTGTTTCGGCCAGGCAGACTTGCTTAGTCTGAGCTTTTAGCAATGAGTAATGACCAAAATTACTGTCTTGTCAAGCACACACAAGTATCTTCAATCAAATACTCAAAAGAAGTTGCAATCTTTTATTCAAGGAGAATCTTAACATGCATTTAAAACAAAGCGGTAGTAAACCTTTAGCAGAGGTTTTTCATCTCTCCCAGAAGAGTCCTCCGACTGCTGATGAACCAGGACAAATTCTTCATTAATTAACATGGATGCAGCTTCAGGAACTCTGTCGCCCTTGCTAAATGAAGTTTTGACTTCCATATCAAGTCTGCATTCTTGTCCTCCCACATCAACCTAAAAAAGAAGCAAAAATATCAAATAGCAAGTTTGGAAATTATAAATATGTTAACATGATGCAATAGGAAGCTAGTCAAGTAATACTTAACATTATATGAATATAAGAAAACCTTCATTTCATTGGTGTAGAAATTCATTTTCATTAAGCAATCACACTTCTCAGCAAGTGTGATTTTAGAATGTCTATTTAAAAACCCTGTGATTCAACAGCATTGTTGTTGAATTGTTAATGTGTATTAACAACAAACATCTATATTTGTGTATTCTTCAGCAAATTATCAGACATGGAAAAAATATATATATATCTCAGGGCTTGCACTTCCCATTTTTGATCCTCCAGCGCCTGCTACCTCCACTGCTCTAATTTTTGCCTGAACAGATAGATTTGGCAACTGTTTTGTATGGTAATATAATGGATTAGTGTTCAGATATTCTCGATAAATATCACACACTTCTACTTACAGTAAACTTCAATATCCCAGTTCCTGAGAAATATTAGATTACCGAGGGCTAGGAGTTTGTGTGCTTAAGCCACAGAGCTGTGGCACATAAAGGAAAGGGGAACAAGCTGCACATTCCAACGCCTTCTTTAAACCCCAAACACATCGCCTTGATGTCAAAGCAGGGTACAAGAGACCCAAAACATTGTTCATAATATCCGAATATTTAACACTCATCAGACCCAGAATTTCATTTCAGCATAGTCACCTGAAAGGTGTTCAAAGAAGGAGAGTTCAACTAAACTCCTATGGTGACTGCTGAACACGTGAAGCTTTGCCTCACATTGCCTTCCACAGTAGCGTCAATGCAGAAAGAATGCTGTGCCCGCATCACAGTTAATGCTTTAAAATACTAAATGATCAAGGAAAAAAAAAACTACAGATACATATCTACCTATAGAGAACAAAAACCACCACCAACAACAACAAAAGCAGCACTCCTCAGGRAAAAAAAAAAGAAAGAAAGAAAACCAAAGACTTGCAAATCCTGCCCCCTTGTGAAGGGGCATCACTGGCRTTACTACACGCGACTGTCTGGCAACTTAAATAGCATGGGGGCAGATACTGGTTTCAATACACAAAGATTTTGCAGCATTTTTGTAACCACAGTCAACATGTTTTCACTCTTTCAAAGATTTGTGCTGCTATACATATTCATAAGCATAATTCTACAAAGAGATCATCTTCCCTCTCCCTATCCCAGAAACAATTTTACCTGATAATCTAGTGAAGGCAATATACATAGAAATGCTCAAACTACTAAGGAACTCAATTCTTCAGAAAACTGACTAGGTAATGCAAGTCTTGTATGAGGAAAAAAAAAGCCACTAAACTACACCTATAATATTTAGACAGAGATTACAAATTTGGATTAGCAGTTTAGCTCTGATGTCTTTCACATACCCAGACTTAAGTCTCACAGTGCTGAATATTGTACATAGAGATGAGGTAATGTGAACTCCACCCAAGCTTAGGCTACGGATTCATTGCTGAAATAAGTTGTGGAGCTTTTAACCATATTTCCTTTAAAGGTTTTTCCGGCAGGAGGGGAAAAAAAAAGGTATTGATATACAATGTTAAAAATGTCACAACACGTTTTATTAACTCTAGGGTTTTTTTTTAATCTAATGTCATGTTGTAAAATATTAGTCTCAAACTTAGATATTGTTTACAGTTTGCAGAGTCAAGTTCAAAACTATTATTAATTTCAAAGTAAATCCTCAATACAAAAGTGATCAGTTATAGAATTCTTCGAGGGCAAATAGAAAGAAAAAAGCATAAAATGATGTTGCCCAAATAGAATACAGACTGAGTAATCACTACCCTGCAAATTTACACCAACAGTAGAGAGTAGCAGTCAGTCCTGCTGGCCACATCAGCAGCCAAGATCCAGTTTTTCAGAAGCCTCCTCCCCTCCCACCCTAAACCTATTGTTGGACTTTGAGAAGACAACCAAAAGCAGCCTTTGTGACCCCTTCTAGCCTATTTGTAGAAAGGATGGAGCACAAGAAATGTTGTTTTGACAAAGTTTTGTCTCGGTCTACTTAAGTTTCATACAGTGATTTTTTTGCACATACCTGTGGGAAAATGATTAAAGGAGAAAGGCAAACGCTTACATTAGCATAGCACTAGTTCTTTCTGCATCAAAATGAGGACTGACAGGCACACTGTGAGCTAGAAAAGGTTTCTGTGGCAATATGTTAACACTAAAATCAGTTACCACTAAAGCTTTATTTTTTTTAATCTGAGGAAAAGAAAACAAACAAAAAAAAGAGAATTATAAAATACTTGTTCCTGCCCTATGTGGATTAAGGCAGTTTGGGAAGTCTTTTTTTTTTTTTTTGTACATTTTAATCAGAAAGAATATGCAAAGTTATCAACACTAGCTGACTACAAGGTGTTTCTCATTCAATTTAGACACTTGAAGCATACCATACACATTCCTGTGATTGCCTTTGAGATGCAATGCATTCAATATCTCTAAGAGCATACTTCAAGTTTGGCTGAGATCAGCTTAACTACCACATGAGGTGCAGACACATAGGTCTTTCAGCCATAACTATGCAAGCTGAATAAGTTCATCGGCCCCAGGCCAGCTAACTCCAGCCTTTCATTACTGCCTACTCTAACTCGCTATCAGTGTAATTCATGTGAATACTCCCTGTCCTATTTCAAACAAAAACTGCATTCACTTGTTTAGTCATCAAAATTACTTTAATTGGGATGAGCTACAAGACATTCACACAAACAGGTCAAACATTCGGAAAGTAAACACCTCAAGCAGAAGAGTAACCCTCTATTATTGGTCACAAAGGTACAGTTTCAAGAAGGTGGCTAAAAACAAGTCATGTCTTCTACAAAGAGAATCTCTCGACTTCAATATCAGGAAATTTGCTATATGAACATTAAAAGCAATATTCTAGATTCCTCRTGGAAAATGTGTTATAAAGATGAAAGTCTCTGAACGAACATACTCTTCATTTCCTCCACCATTCTAGTCTCATGCTATTTAGAAAGCAAAAGCTACACATCTAACACAGTATGACGTGGGTTTGATCAAATGCAGTTTTTAAATGCCATAGAAAAACACAKTTTCAAAGATCACAATCAAGACATTTTAAATTTAAAAGTCTGAGTAAGGTTAATGTCAGAGTTTGAGACTATAGCTGAGAATCTCAAAGTTTCAAGATGATCAAGATTCATACCATATTAAGTAGTAAGCTGCTGAGAGAGGGGAAAAGAAGTTTCCATTTTACTATTTTATAAATATTTAAGCTTGTATACTTCAACTAAGCACTTACAGAGAAAAGCAGTAAAAAGAGAACAAAAACCTCTTTTGAATGAATCATGCATTGAAGTTATTTGAGGGAAGGAGTTGAACATCTGAGGGAGGGGGTTATCCTTATTAAGGAGAAAAAAAAGTGCATTCTGGATTTTCCAGACACCTCTAGCCAGTAAACTAATGATTATGTCAGTTCTCTTTCATCTTTAGCTTTATTCCTATTAAGGACATATTGCTTTTCTACTCATTATTCAGCCATGACTTGTAAATTTAAATCTCTCTYTTTCTTACAAAAAGCAAAGAACAAATGACAGGTGTCATCTAAAAGACCAGAACAAAATCAAAGAACAAACCCATATTATTAAGCTCATAAATAAGCTTCATTTTTAGATCCTCCTTTCAGAGAAAGAACTGAAAATTAAGAGAGAAGATACTCTTGATTGCTTTGGCTAGAATATGCAAGACAGTTATTGAAGTCATGCTAAYTTTATTTTCTTAAGATAACAGCAGACTATCCTGGAGCCACATGCAGTCTCCGCATACAGATGAAACAAGTCCAGCCAATTTTGCTCARGAAGTTATTGGCAGGGCAGTAACCATCAGAGAGGCAGTAAGGGACAGGAGAGTCTGCAAACATAACCCACCTCAGCCACTTTCGCTTSAAGTGCAGAGGTTCCCTTTGGGCTGCCTTGAAACTCAGCTGCACAAGGCACGACCGTGCCTGAGAACACAAGGCCTGTTCTGCCAGCACGAATCCCAGGAAAACAAGCTCCAAGCAGATGGTCACATCCTAAACTGCCAGAGCCAAGAGTCAGTGGGGCCCTTCCAACACCTTCGGAAAAGTGACAACAAAANAAAAAAAAAGTCTCACAAGACAAGCATCTTGAACAGTCTCTCCTTCCTACAGGAAAGCTTCTCTTTTCCTCCATAACTCCATCAGCTCTACCCCATGGACAAAAACTCAAAAATCCAGGAATAAATACATAATAAACATTTTAACAAACTCAACAAAATACAGACAACTATATGATAAAAGAGTTTTTTTTTTTAAATAAGCTTTATATACCATACAATTCAGATATCTCACTTACTGAAGTGATTTTTATCACATACTGACTTTCTTTTTAGGAAACTGACAGAATTACATGCACACAGAAATAACTGAGCATCCTGATTACTAGATTTTATTTTTCTAGAAGAAAGTTTCAAAACTGTATCATCATATTATCAGCATGAACTTACTAGTAAGAGAAGCATACTTCCTCCAGAGAGCTGATCAGTGCTCCAGGTATACAAAGCTTTACTTTTCCAATGCTTTGTGTTTCTGAATGACCTTCTAAATCTCTTCATTATATATGCGTTGAATATTGTATGCTGAAGCAGCACAGCTAATCATATTCTCCAAAACCTTTAATTTGCTATTGACTGGGCAGACATCACATGCAGAAGCAAATCCTAATCTTATATTTTTTTAATCTCATTGACAAAAACAGCATTAGAATTTCACTCAATCTCAAATTCACCTTAGAACAATCTATATTGAAAAAAAAAAAATCTATTGTTTTACTGTTTGCACTAACTACTGATTTATAACCCATAAATTCTTTTCAGTGTCCTATCTCTGGCAACAAAAGCTTATGGGGATGGGGGGAACCACAAACCTACCTTACCAGCATTGTCTTCTGAGATAAATTTAATATGAAGTATGGAATTTA